GACCAGTCAATGTTTTACAATATGCCGAGTCAAATAGTCGATTCGGCGCTACGCGCCACATCGACTATCTATTGACTCATAGAAAACAGAAACCGACATGAGGTGTTACATTTAAAGCAAAAAAGCAAATTTAAATTAATTCTAGTAAAAATGAAGTAAAAATGAGTCCGGGCCCATATAGATCTCTTCAGTTTGGGCCTCTTATTGACTATTTCCGACCCTGAGTCATTCCTTTGGGAATATAATTCTTTGTTTCATTTGAATCCAAACGAAGAAATAATACTCAGGGTAATGACACGTAATATGAAAAGAGCAAAACATTACGTCCAAGCTAAGGAGATCTCTTAATACCCAGATGACGAAGTTGCCGAAGGATTTTATTAGAATTGAAGAAGGCTAGGACGAGTTCCTTTTTGAAGAGGGAGAAAAAAATATCAGTTGACCACTATACTAGTGGCATTTCATATTCTGGTAGAGCGCGCATGTTATTGACGAGGACGAAAACCAATGGAATTCATATGCGCGCGCATCTAAAAGGAACATGTTCACGCTGTCATCTTGAAGTCGCAGCACCTCTTTACTGATTGCGCCCTCTATTAAAACGCATGGGCACAAATGAACCTTTACCTGATGATCTGGATCAGCATTAGGGGAAAGATTTAGTAGCTGCTCCACCAGTACCCCGTATTGTACGATATCAGTATTTGGTTTATCTTCTTCTTGTGCGGTTGTTTTCTTGTGTGAATTGACGAAGGTTCCATGACCAAATCCACCCAAAACTGCCTGTAGCGAAGGAACCTAGGTAAAAACATATATTTATTTATAGTGCAAAAAATTTACTTAATATATTTCATAGCTTTGTAAAATCTTTAGAAGTATATTGTTTTGAAACACAATATATTTGATTGATTCCGACGAAGGACTAACGTCCGAAACGTCAGTCTATTGTCTTTCGTATTTACCGTGATAAAATTATCTACTGCGACACATTTGTTTTAAAATACAGATGATTACCTGTGGGCAATCTTCCCAAAAGAGGCTATTCATTCTATGCTATAAAAACAATTTACCTCTCTACCTAGGGTAGAACGTTTGACTTATATTTCAAAATAGGTTTCACTCTCTTGAAAATAAGTATAAGAGTAATGGCGCGTTCTGATTGGCTACCCTATAACTATCAGTTCATATAGCATAAGTAGAAAAATTCAAAATGGTCGCCAACCGATTTGCTCAACTTTCTGAGAAAATACCAATGCACTAAAAACGCCAAAAAGCACGCGGGACGAGGGAACTAATAATGGCTTAAAAGTAGTCGGCAGTAAGAAAGGCTAGTCCGTTTATTAACTTTAATATACCGGACGTTTCTACTTTTCTCGCGAAAAGAAAATAGCGAAAACATTGAAGACGAACGAACAAAATCCTAATAACAACATATAAAACAAAACATATATTTTTGAATTAATAAAAATAAAAAATTGCTTGTTTCTAGAACACCTGAAAAGCATTTCTAARTTTAACAAATACATACATAACTAAAGCATGGCTAAATGAGAGCTAATTACTTGTTTAAAGCAATTTAACAGCTCCGTTAGACTGCAAGATTGCTCAGTTTACGAAACCAAAACATGGTTCAATTCCATTCGTGCAGTTATCGACACGTTTTTTGAAATATCTTTCTTATAGATTATTCAAAAAAGCGGTAATTTCTCGTAATCTAGTGTGATCTATGAGGCCTCGTTAGCTATGAGTTCATTTACGACGAGAGTGAGTGGAATAAATGTCAAATATATACCAAGAGTAAATTAACCCTTGACAATTTCTTACCATGACGGACTCTTTGACCAATATATTTGTAGCTGTCACGTGATTATGCCTCAGGTCACACCGTTCAAGGTATGAGAGTGCATTGATGACGTCTGTTGCGATGGCGAGTACGATTTGAGTAACAAGAGCAGCTTCTGGTTTACTGATATATTCATCAAGAGTAGTACAGGATACCAATTCGTAGCAAATCAAACTGTAACATTTTAACAAGAAAACAACTCTTCGCACAATTGATTTTGCCGACCCACTTTCCTAACCAATGAGTACACTCTAATTATTTGTCGTTTATGACCCTATAAAGACCCCTGCATTGACAGATAACATGATCAATTATTGCCATATTGTATCTTGAGTATGCACTTTGAGTTTTTAAACGATAGTAGGTGAGCTTGTATAGGAGGTAATACTAGAATAGCTTAATATAAGGCGAAAACACCAATAGATTAATTAAGAGAGTTATATCTAAGTATAGAGTCTTTGCACCATCAGGTGATGTCAGTTATGAAATGAAGTACATTAATAGTCCTTTTTCCCTGGGAAACTGAGTACTTTCTCATGTAAACCACATTAGACAATACAACTCAATACAACGATCCCACATTTACTGTTCTACTTCCCTAGTTACTGCTGCTACTTCAGACAAGCTAAAATGTGTTTTTGATATACAGCACTGAACAGGCACACATTGCTGAGAACTGTAATTATCTGTCTTAGAATCAAAACATTCTAAAAGTACATCAAGAAAAAAATCGACAACTAATGAAAAATCTTATGAATTCAAGTTTGTTGTCATTTGGAAAACTACCTAATGTTTGCGTAGACAAGCAAGCGTTGCGCTCAAGGATCGGTCTATTTTTCCTGCCTCCTGTCATGGCTGCCATCACCGTAATAGTGCAATGCTCTATTTGATATTGACAAACTTTTTATACAAACTTACAATCCTTGCCCCTGCACAGACTCGAGGTTCGTGAGGTCTATCAAGACTGGAGCTTCTTGGACTGAAATAAAAGGGGGGAAAGAAAAAAGAACAAAAACTGCACTTTGATAAAGTGAAACGAAGGAAGCTCAAAACATATCAACATTTTGGTGGAGTATTTACAGGCTTGCTTAGGTTACAGAGAACTAGATTGTTACGCAATAAGCCTTTTTTAAACTTTAGTCAGCCTACACGTTATTATATCATTTCAGTATTACTAAAGGGCGGATCCAGGGGGGGGG